ACCTTGCTCTGCACTGTTATTGTGTGATGGTGCATTTAGATTTCTAATTGCTTTTCCCTCAACTGCTACATGATGCCTTGTTTTTGCATAATATCACCTAAATCATGCAACTACAATTGTATGATTTTATCAAGCCATTGTCTTCAGAAATCAAAGTAGCACTAATGTGTACTCATGCAGAATTTGGTTGAGTGGGAGTGCTCATGTCTTACTAGAAGGATGGTAGGTAACTTGGTGATGTTCTCACCAAGACCTTATAAAAAGGCCTTATAGAGGAATTAAGGGAGACCAGCAGTCAATTCCCTTTCCTTTCCCTCCTTGTTGCCTTTTTCTCTTAATTTTTTTTCAGTCAGTAAAAACATTGTTTTAGCTGTTAGCAGGTGATAGAGTGAAATCAGAATCCTCCTGAATGAAAACCAAAATGTGGTATTGGAATAAGAAACCAGAAAACCAATGGTAATGAAAAGACAAAAAACATGAGCCAGGGAGATTTAACAAGCTATCACAATGATAGGGTTTAGGCCAGTGTAGTTTGTAAACAGCAATCTCAAAGTAAATTGTATGTCAGTTTGAAAAATCATATATTTAAAAAAAAATCTCTACTGTTGATGCTGATTATCATTCTGTGGCAGTAGTGGGAAAAAAGACAGAAAAATTAAATCAAAACCTCCTACTTTTATGTTAAACATAGATTCTGATATCATCTAATAGGTCATGCTGGGATGAAGTGTATTGAAGTAAATGCCATAAGATGTTTTGAAATGCATGTATTTACATCAGAATAAGACTTGCTATTCAAAATTCTCTTTGCAGTGCCTGTAAGTTGACTTAAATGCTGATATTGAATTTGTGGTGTAAAGACCTTATATGTAATGATCAGGAAACAGCAGATAGATCATTCCAAATGGTATTGTGCATGGCGGTGACTGAAACCACTGTAACCCTCTAACAAAGCAAAATGATTCGGTTGTGCTTGTTCTGTGTACCTGGGGATCCCCTACAAATCAGCTCGACCTCATAGAATCAAGTTGTGAGGCAGTTAATATGTATGCATTCAAACTGACGATATCTAACTAAAGGAGAACTTCTGTAAAAGCATCATCATACCCATAATTCTCTTGTTTTATTTACATGGGCATGATCGTGTAATGGACGTGGTTTTCTAAAGCAAAACAGAAATTAAAATCCTTCAATGTTCACACTACTATTTGGAAAGAGAAGAAACCTCAAAAAACCCTCCATAAAACAAGTACTCTCTGTTCACAGAAAGCTGAAAAGGTTAAAAAAGGTAAGTTAAGGACATTGACTGTTACACTCCCAGGCTGGTGGTAACACTTTATGACTGCCCTGCACCATGTACAGCAGAGTACAGCAGCTTATGTGTTGAGTTACTAGCACATTGTATCCATTCTGATGAAGGAGGGAGAAAATGTAATGGCATTTAATCTTTGACTTGCACTGGACTCTTAAACAGATCCATTTTTAATAAGTCTACATTGCCTGTGCTTGCAAACTGAGAAAAATGCAGTAGGAGACTGAAAGCACAACAAATAGCTTGATGAAATTATCCTCTCAGTGCAGAGTAGTGCCAATGCCAATGTGGTTATTATGTATATACTTATCAGTTCTACCCTCCTTTTCCTTTGTTCTTCTTATTTTTCTTTCTGCTAAAAAAAATATCAATTTGAAAACTTGTTAATTTCCAAGCTGGAGCTCTACATCTCTGTCATGGTTGCTTTTAAATATTTAGAAATTGACCTGGTATTTCTTTAAATAGTAAAAAATGACAGATCCAAAAATCTTTCTACCGAAGCCTTATGAATCTGGGTATATATATCTGGGTAAATTTTGAAATGTAATAAAGCCCTAAATTCCCTAAGGTTGCATCATAAAAGCCCCTTGATTTCATGTGGGAGCCTAAAAACTTTAACAGTGGGCCTTGAAGACTTCAGAAAATATTAGCATAATGTGACAAAGAGATTCACATTCAAGGTAGCTGAATTTTTAATCCATCTTCAAGTTTAGTAGGAAGAACAACCTATTTTCTTTAGTGCGAATATTTATTAGACTAAAACTGGGCACACTGGGTAAAGCTGTATTAAAGATAGAGTTGCAATTTACATGTGGAATCCATTATAGTGACATAATACTTATTTACTGTTTGAGGTCATCATACAATTCTAAAAAACAAAGCAATATAAATAAAATCTTTAGAGTTTAATGGGTAATGGAACATCTAATTTACTGACTGTTGTCACAGGGTAATGCTATAAATCTTTACCCTTCAATTTAATTTAGGACATGGAAGAAATCCATTTACAAGCACTTAAGCTGTGTTAGGATGTTGTTTGTTCTTGCTTGGTGATTTCCTTAGGATTTACCACAATGGCCTGAGTTATAGAAATACTATTTCAAGTTAAGGGAAGAACTGACCTGAGTTCAAGCTGAAAACAAATGTTCTGACAACTCAAGTTTAACTCATCTGTCAGTATCTCCAAATTCTTTGCAAGAAACAAAACAATGTTTTTTTACCATTATTGTGGCTCTTAATCTTCAATAGATAAATGTATACTGAGTGTAGGAGAAAGAAGCTAAAGGAAGAAAAGAGGGAAAAAGCCCTAAATGAGGGACTGACTAGCAAAATGGAGTCTGAGCTTTAACTGTGAGCAGTGGAAATTATATACCAAGAAACAGTTCTCTCTACATGGAAGTCAAAATGCTGTTTGACAATAGTGGCCCCATACTTTAAGTATGATAGGACAGGTATAGTGAACAATTATTGCTATTTGGATTAGATAAGAAGTAGCAAATTTACTTTAAGGAAATTGTCAAAAGGTCTGATGCAGTTAGAAGCTGTTATCTAGTAACTCAAATAGAAAAAAGATGACAGGTGGTTTGCCATAGTTGAGAAACATAAGAAATAGCTACCCTTTTCACTGTACATATTAATAGATTAAAAAATGCAATTTAATTCAGACTGGTAGCTAGGAAGGATGCACAACCAGTCTTCATAGTAGAAAAAGACATCTGTCTTATCCATCATTCATTGTGGACTAACAGTGTTTTGTCACACTGTGCTTGATCAGTATGCACACCCTCATTTTCCAAAAGCAGGAAAATTTCAGAGGCTTTGTTTTGGCTCTGTATTTATTCATGTATCCTACCAACATTACTTGCTACCTCTGAGATACTCTATAAACATTAATTATTCCTTGCCTTAAATCTGTGAAATAGATCATTACTTTCAACATTGCCAACACCATCATTTTTGCTATGGATAAAATTGAAAATGAGAGACTTTTAAAGGCAATAATTACATTTTTGTTTTTTCTACTTGAATTATTTTCTAGGGACTGGTTCGGTTTAAACAGCAGTGGTAAAATGTCCATTTCTTTTCTGTAAGAGATCTGCCAGGGATAAAAATAATCCAAGAATGTGAAGAACATCAAGATAATTTTTTCTCATTCCATGATAGCTCATGACATTATCAGGCATATTATTATATAAAGGAAGGCATTGCTTGTGTCAGAGGCAATGCTTAGTAGCAAGCAGTCACAGCTGACATGAAATGTCCATTTAATATCTTTGAAGTCATGGCCAGCTTTTCCATGTGAAGCCTATGAAACTCCTTGGGACATTGAGAATTTGTTACCAACCCTCCCAAGATGCATCAAACAATTGCATTGAGTCCTTGTAGCGCATGGTACTCAGATTTTTAGCCTTACCTACTTTTACCTTCTACTACAAGTCTAGTGTTCCAAGCTAGTACATCTGACATATTTAAAATGAAAAGACCCTTTGCAGAAAAGAAATTATTATCTATAATTAGAAATACAGGAACCAAAAATTGTAGTTGAAAATCTCTATTAACTCACCCACAGATGAAGTACAAGCAGTGGACTCTGAAATGATTGTTCACCATCTGAGTTTCAAATGTTCTTGTTTGTGTGGGGGGATTTTATGGGAATTTTAAATAGAATTTGAATAGTTGACATTCAAGAAAATGATTTTTTTAGAACATTCTTACATAGGAAATTGCCTTGATGCATTGAATGTTCTGCTCTACATAGTTTAATTGTAAAGAGGAGAAAATATTTTGGTTGTGCTGTAGCTATCAAACAGAAATGAAAGATGGAAAAGGCGTATTAGGTCACCTTGAGGCCAAATTCACAGGTGCTGGAAACTGGTATAATTCCACTGATGTCAATTCCCATTCTTTTCACTTGGAGTTGCAGATGCTCAGCACCCCTGAAATCCCTGATGTGTATTCAGATTGTTCTTTTTATTACAGTGCAGTTTTTAGAGCACAGTTCCCTACATTTTTGCTGATTAATATGGTGATGCATTGACTAACAAAAACATTCCTGTTCTACTGTATGTTTTCACCTCTGTCATATTTAGCAGATTTAGTCTTTGGCAAGTAGAATGATACCTCCACCTTTTACACCAGAAAGCCAAGAGTCAAACCAGCAGAATCTGCAAATGCATTTACAGAGGTGTAAATTACCAACATGGTTTCAAGTCTGGAGTGTTTTGATTGTGAGGGAATGAAATGAAAATGTGGCACAAAAGAAAAATGCTTCACAGAAGCTATCAATAAGTAATGACTTTTTAAACAAAAATTCCAGTTCGTTTGGATTCATTGCCACCAAGTTATACTTCAAAGAATGTTCTAAGCAGACATTTTAAGAATAAGTGTTGACAGATTTCTATATATTATATATGGAAATTATAATTTAAATATAATTAATAAATTATAAATTGATCTATTTACCATTTTTTCCAATTGTTCAAAATTTTTGATTTTTCTGAATCATCATCTACAGGACTTATGAAAGGGTGTGATGTCAGAGCAGTATAGGGTAGAAGTAAGCAATCAGAAAGGGATTTTTAGAAAATGTTAAATGTATTTTAAATAACTAGCAAGTAGGCTAGTTTCTGGGTTAGAGTTGCTGCTTAGAATCATAGCACAGCAGTAACTTAGACAGTGAGATGGAGAAATCGCTTACACTTGTATCTACTCTGAGTTCCAAGGAAAAATGTGGTTACTATAGCAACTGCCACATTACACTTATGCAGTCTTTGGAATAGATTAAATTGCTGAAAACCTCAAGGTTTTGTTTGACTCTGTTGAGAACTGCAGCTAAATGTACTGAAGTTACTTAATCAAAGGTATGTTAGTGTGCATGTTCTTACATGTTACTGAAACTTTGGCTTGTTACTTTAGCTTAGTTTTTTTTGGTAGCATATACTTATTCAAAATAACTTTGTCATATTCATTTACTGTTTAGGTGGAATCCATTTGGCTATATGCACATATATGATAGAGACTGAATATGTGAAACATGCTATAGAAAATTTCCTGCCATGAGATATAGCCAAGAGGTTTAGAAAATCAAAGTATTGGTTGCTCTAGGAAGTTTGTTTGGAAACCATCCTAAGATTATATAAAAAATTATTAATTAATTACTATGGCAGCAGAAAGCAAGTGATGTGTTTTGTTTTTGGTGGAAATTCACTCTGGGCTCAGTGCAGTTGGTCAACAATTGCAGATAAAGTCATGTAACATACATCTATTATTTGAAGAAAATCTTGTGCTTTATGTTATGTGTGCTTAAATGCAGTGATTTGGAGGAGTGGTGATTTATGCCTTCCTGACATGTTTAAACACTTCAAAAGTTTAATGACTTAAGAGGCAGAAATTTTGCTGCGAATATTTTTGGATGGTGTTCACGCATAACAAAATACAAAATAAACATAGGGTGGAGCTGTAGAAAACATTTTTCTTTGAATAGCTGAGATGCCACAACATGTCATGCTGTGCTAGGAAAACTACAGATAGTTTTGCATTGTAGGCCTTTTGGGCCTCCCTGAGCTGTGACTTCTGACAGAGAAAGTAGGTAATGTAGTAGCATTGTAGTATTGAAGAATTTAAACTTGAAATCCTGGGATTATATGCACTTGTATGTTTTTGTTACTCTAGACTGTTCCCTTTGTCTAGGGAGTTAATATTTTAACACTGTGGTTGCTGTTGATTCTTCCCCCTGCTTAATGAACAGTTTTTGTTTTCTCGTGTTGCCTCTGTTCTGGGCTTGCCCTGCTGGGGCAAGGGAGTGAAGCACCTGGCAGAGTCAGGGTTCTTGGTTGTTTTGGTGCTGGTTTTGTTCTAATGGGACATGGAAAACTCTGCCTACTTTGCCTGTTTATTTCTCCTTCTTAGTTAGACTTCCCAAAGTCTAGAGTATGTGGAGCCTCTCCAGAAAACAACTGGGAAGGGTTCTTCTAAAGGTTTGAGTTTTCACCTACCTCCTTACTGGTCACCTACTGCCCTTCCCTTTCTAAATTTAACTCTTTCTTTAGAGCTAATTATTCATTTTTATATGTTTCCTTCACAAATCCTGACAGTCGCTAAAGCTTTACTTTGTTCAGATGTTCTATCTTTATCTTTTTAAGCCAGTGTTTCTTATTGATTTATTTACCTATTTAGTGATTATTTGACAACATGACTATGTGGTACTTTTTTTTCTGTTTATTGCTCAAAGTTTTAGACTGAAGTAGTGCTTTCTTCCACCCTTCAAGGTATTCCTGTTTTTCCCTGAGAGGACACAGAAGTCTGGTGCTGAAACATTAGCAAGTCTTTTGTAATGAGTGACAGTTATTTAATTTACTTTCTGTACCTGATACAATAGCTCTTACAGCTTATTTAAATATGTCATTTGGTATTTTACATAGAAGTGCTGCATCAGTTTCTTTGTAACATCCAAGTAAGGATTAGATTTAACAGTACCAGGCTATCTAGGAATGCAGTTATTGGGTCTATGTGTTTATGAAATACATTATCATAAATATTCATGATTTCTTGTGTGTATTTGATATCAGTTTGCAATGTTAATCCTGCCTCAGGACCAACTTCCATCATGACAAGTACAAGAAATGTATTCTTCTTGCCTACTTTGTGAGCTTCATAAATTAAAACCTTTGAAATATACACAATGTAATTTGCCTTGCTTTGTCCACTATGGTTTTTATCTCAATACCTTGTCATTGAATTTCATAGGAGCTACATTTTTTTGCTTGTCAGGTAACCAGGGTTCTGTCTTTGTCCTAAACTGTGACTTTATTCTTTTGTTACCCACTTCATTTTATCACCTTTGAAAACTGGTTCCTGTGCTGCCACTTCCATGGCGAAACACATCCATGTGCTGTGTTGGAGATGGTTACACTCAGAGTGATTATTTGAATGTGAGACACTGTTCTTGTTTAGAGTGCAGGGAAATTGAAAGAAGAGAAAAATAGTTTCTAGACAGAAGGAAGCTGGCTTCAAGTCTTTTCACCGTAAATCCAGGTGAAAGCAAAGCAGGTATAAAACTGCTGCACGCCATGGGAAACTATTCCTTGTATGCTTCATTCACTTGCATTGGTTTATTTTTTCTCCCTCTTAGTCAATATTAAAATCTGGGTTTATATAACAGTAATACTGTTATATATTCATGTGAAAATACGTGACATCATCACTTTGCTGAGGATGTCTTTCTGAGCAGAGACAGGGATACATCTAAGAATTACAATTAGATGAACATTTCTGCTCAATTTTCTTGTTTATAGGCATCAAATGAATTTTTATCTGTATTTCCATTAATTTACTTTTTGATCAGTTCCCATAACCAGATAGCTTTGAAATTAAGGATAATTTTTAGCGCATAAAATACTTTAAGAAAAATGCCTACTTATTACTTTTATATTGATGATAGATTCTCAATATTAAATGAAACCATTTTACCATTGGAAAGTCCTACAACCTTGTATATCCCAGTTTTCTGGTATATAATATTAGCAAGATTCATACTTGTCAGGGCTTGTCAGCTTTTTAATGATTTACCTGTTTTTTAGTTACAGTAAAGACTTAGCTCATTATTTATCCTGAAAAACTCATTTTGCTCCTTTGTCTTGCTAAAATGATGTCCAAGTTTTGTTTGCTACTGTTTTTTCATTTCTCAGTGCATCTCTAGATGCAAAAGTTGAGGAGACAATTTGACATTCCAAGTGACTTTTAGAAAGAGTCTAGGTTATAAACAGGGCAAAGCATGTTTTGGTACACAGGGGGATGAGGATTTGGGCTGTTAAAAGGTGCTTCTGTGGGAACAGCCCCTGGCTGTCCCTGTGTTGCTCAGTCAGTTTCAGCTTGCTCTGAAATGGACCCACTACAGGTCTAAGCTGATCAGAGCAGTCACGCTTGTGGTGTCTCTGTATAAATGTACTTTTGAAAGACTAAAAAATCCTGCACAGCAGCTGTGAAAAAGAGCACTGAGACATGAGAAAAAAAATGTTGAAACAACTCTGCAGACACCAAGGTCAGTGTAGGAAGGGGAGTAGGTGTTAACAGGGTATCAGAGCAGAGATTCCCCTGCATCCCAAGGAGCAGAACATGGTAATGCAGGTTGAGCCCCTGCAGCCCATGGAACACACGGGGGGAGCAGATATGCTGCAAACTGCAGCCCATGGAGGATCCCAGGCTGGAGAAAGTGCTTATGTCATAAAGGAAGCTGCAGCCCAGCTGGAGCCCACATGAAGCAGGTTTGCTGGTAGGAGCTGTGGACTGTAGAGAACCCACACTGGAGCAGTCTGTTCCTGAAGGACTGTGCTGTGTGCGGAGAACCCACTTCGGAGCACTTTATGAACAGCTTCAGTCCATAGGAAGGAGCCACACTGAGGCAGGTTGGGAAGAGCTCTATCCTGTGAGAAGGACCCCATGTTGTTGCTGGAGAACAGTGTGGGGATGAAGGAGAAGCAGAGATGGAATGTTATTATGGGCTGACCACAACCCTCGCTCCTTATCCTACTGTACCACTTAGAGCAGGGAGAAAGTTGAAGAATGAGGAGTGAAGGAAGTTGAGCCAGAGAAGAAGGGGGTTGTGAACGGAAAGCATATTTAGTTTGGTCTGTTTCTCACCATTCTAGTCTATTTTTAATTGGTGGAAAATTAAATCAATCTTCTCCGGCCAGAGTTTGTTTTGCATGTAGTAGTTTCCTGTCCTTATTAAGCCATGAACATTTCCATCTTATTTCACCTCCTTGTTTTGCCGAGGAGGAGGAATGGAGAGTGCTTTGGTGGGCATCTGGCAGCCAGTCAAGGTTAACCCACTGGACATCGTTTGCAGTCCTGTAAGAAGTAGAAGCTATCTTTGGTTGATGGCTTCCTCATATGTAGAAACACAATTGTGTTTTCTATAATTCCAATGCTTATTGTTGTACCATTTGCAATGCCCTATCATATGCTGGCAGCAGAATCTATGTGTAGAATTTCCCTAACCCACTTTTCAGTAAACTGGGGAGCTGATACTATATGAAATACGTGTAACTGAAAAGGCAGGGCACCCTGATGTATTCAAAATGAATTTTGAAAGTCACACAAAGGAAGTACCATCCTTACACATTCTAGGCAGTATTTTCCAGCACAGAACAAATAAGTAGAAAATTATAATGCTTTTATTGGGATATCCACTTAATCTGTTTTTTCCTGGCTAATCATTAGCTCTTTTATCTCTTACCAATCTGTTTATCAAAAAATTACAATCTTCTCTTCCACTGATATTCTAGATACTAAAGTGTAACATTGCGATATCACCAAGGGTAAGCAAATTAGGACAAGATATGTGAGGCTTAGAAAAAGGGAAAAGGGAAAGAAAAATTAAAATACAGTGGGGTGAGGTAAGGAGAAAAAGAACAAAGATAAATACTTAAATATGCAATGGACGGAGAGTGAGAAGAAAGAAAAGAAAAATATTCTGAAGTAAAAAACAGTAGTTATTCACTTAATGAAATGGGTGTATCTTTGAGTGCACCTGCAGGTATGTATCTAGAGAACTTCTGATTTTTTAGAGAAAACTATAGCAATATACTTCAGCCATCAACAAACATCCTACCCAGATGCCACAAATGAATGTTTTCTCTGAGGTTTGTGTCTTCTTGGTACCTGTGGTAGATTAGATCTCACTTAAAATTAGCTGTCAAAATCTGTGAATCTTTAAAGGACCTGTTGCAGAGTTAATCAGACTTACAGGGGCTGTTGAAGAGTCATTCAAACTGTACAGAAAAAAAAAATGGGCAGAGAAACAGGGTGATTTCCGCTGTGGAAGGGATTACAGGAAGGCAAACATCTGTAGTGAGCTCGAGTGAGGAAAACCTTCAGTCCTATGTGCCAAGAGCTATGTGAAGGATCTCGGTAAAATTAAAAAAACGCATTAATTCAAAGACTAAAGAGCTATTACCAAGCAATAGCAAAGTGCATATGCTACTTGCAAAAAGCTTTCTTACAAGTTGCATGGAGGCCTACTATGTGACAGAGTTTAGGATTTCTTTTTGGAACAGTGTTCCATCTTTTTAGTGTAGGACTTAATTCATGTTTGGTGGCCAAGCTCCTGCTATTGTTTCCTAATTCCACAGTCTTCTCTTGCAGGTCATTTTTTTGTATTTTTAAACAAAGGTGAACACCTGTTCTGCCAGTACTAATGTCTGTGAGCTCACGCTGTGTTTTAATCATCTCTGACTAGGAAAATCATTCATGCTGCAGTTTTTCCTTCACATTTATGCTTATTGGAAAGACTAAATACTTCATCTCACACTCAAGGAAGGAACTGGAAAATGCTGCACTGTCTCGCTACAGCATTGCTGTCCTAGAATCTTTTAGCATCATAGTAAATATCAGCATGAATATACAGAAATTACTTCAATTGAGCATGCTTTTTGAGTAGGAAGAAATCATAGGTTTTAACATACATAGGTGCCAACCTACTCCAGTGTCAGTAGTGATTTTCCTTCTGTCTTTCACAGGAATACCTAGTAGTGAAAACTGTGAGCTCAAGACTGATCTGCCAGGCCTTCCTTCATAGGGCTCCTGAATGATCCCTCCATCTGTATGCAAAATGTCATTTGAACAACTGCTTTTCATTTGTTTTGAGTTTTTCAATATGTACAGATTAGATGAGTATTAGGATGTCCTAATTAATCATGCAGGAAGATAGGGGAGACTAGTTATTTATATAACTCAGACTCCTAAGTAGAAAGACATCTTCCACATTTCTCTTTAAGTTTGGTCCCTGTCCCTTGCATTCCTTGTCCCATTCCCATTTTCTTTAACTTCAAAAAATTATTGCAAAATTTTGTCACACCCAAAGTGAATTAGAAACTTTGGAAGTAGCCAGTTTCACTGAATCCACTAAATTGATGTATACTGGACCTAAATCCCTAAATCACCCCTGGCATAATTCTGTTGCCATTAACTAGGACATGTGTGCAAGTTGCTGGGGTGTAAACAACAGGTTTGTTCTGTTCATGATACTTTCAGCTTGGAATGTTAATGTTATATTTCTGTATGGTTTTTACAATGGAAGGCATTACAATAAAACTTTTCATATGCAAAATACTGTACCAGGTATTTGCAGTTAGATAGTATGTGATATGTAATGTTATAATGCATTTCAAAATAGAAGAGAAAGAACAGAGCAGACTTAATTAAAAAAGGTTCATCTTTCAGCAGGAGCAAATGTTTGCTTTCTCAATATCACATTCTCTGGATTTCTTTTGGATTTTTTTCTTTGTTTTCTTAATTTTAGGAGCTATGCTAGTTCTATTGTATTAATGCTACATTCTATGGTATTCTCTGGGTTTTTCTTGGTGAAAGTGCTGAGTGTGATTTACACACAGCAAGTACACATAAGATTGTAAAACCTCAAAAAAGCAAAACAAATTTCACCAAAGACATAATTCACATGGAAAATAGTTTTTGTGAGATCAGTGTTATAACTTGTTTTATTTTAGAGCTTTTCAAGTAGATGCTGCAAGGATTATTTTATAATGCAAACATTTTCTCCTCTTTTCCCAAACTGATTTTATTTGTTGGATTTGCTTCTGTATTTTATGGATGTACAGAAATCATGGATGCAGTCCTGATCTGATTGAGTCATATCATTGATTATTTTTAGTGGGACAAGGGTTAGGTATCAAGGTTTCTTGCTACATTTAAACCTCTGCAGACCATGTGTAAACAAAATACCGGAGTTTTTGACTGAGTGAACCCAACAGCTTAATGGTATTTTCACTTGCATGCATGAAAAGCAAGTCATAAAATCACAGGAGGGAATAAGGGAGAGAAAAATAAGGAAAGTTATGTTTGAGAGTAAATGAAATTAGTCAGAGCATTGTGATTCTAGAAAAAACTAAATGGTGCCATAATTAGATCAAGCCAAAACATTTTAGGAGAAAGGCTTTTAAACCCACAAAACATATTGATTTATTATCTTAATGCATTTGATAAATAGCTTCAGAAAATATAAAAGCAAACAACTGATTCAACAAAGCAAACATATTTTATTCCTTGTCCCAAAATATGAAAAATGTGATATTTAGCTTTACACCAAATGAAATTTTGAGATTAAACTCCCCCAATAAAAAAATCCAACCCAAACAAAGCATTCTCTTTTAATTAACTGGAATGTTTAGGCTAAGCAAATGCCATCAAGAGGGGTAGACTAAAAAAGAGATGTGAATTCATTATAAAGAACTGTATTCATGTCCAGAGGGGGATGTGGTAATTTGTGATATTTATGCTTTTTCTTCTTCCTAGTCATTGGTGCCTCTGGGTTTACACTGAAAATGATGCAAGAAGAGTCTATCAATATGGGTAAGTGAAAAAACCCAGCTTGTCTTAGGTCAAATGTGTAGGACCGATATTGTGAGGACGTATTTCTTTTGCTGAAAATATTTCAGGGCATAGTCAAACCTATGTTGATCAGATTCATATAATAAGATTAATACAAAAATTGCATTCTATCCAAAGTATATTTTCCCATAAACTTATTTTCATGCAAATTTAAACTGTTATGGGAGATTTAACATCTTTGTCTATATTAAAGCTGGTAGTTTATACAAATTGTTCTGAAAGTTATGATTACATGATACTAGGAGGTGAAGCATTGACAATGTAGTCAGAAAGGTTTTCTCTGTCTAAAGCACATAGAAGATGTATCATGGTTCTATAGTTCTTAGAATTATAAGAACACAAATAAGAAAAGCAGTGGATGGCTAATAGATCTTTGTTTGTTTAGGAAAAAAAAAGACTAAAAATGTTATTCACTGCTGGACTCAAATTTATTGTTGCTCTGATTCAGCTATTAAAAAACCCACTTATCCACAATACAAGGTGACACTGTAATGCATTTATAATATTCTCTGCTACCATTATGCTACCAAATTTTGAATGCAAATAGGGTTATCTCTTGTTTGCTCAATACAATGTACATGTCCTAGTTAATACTATGTGTAGTGATTCTGTTGTATTTTCAAATGCCACTTCTTTGTAATCAAAAAAGATTTCCTATTTATGTGCATTTCCTGGCAACTGCTGNCATTTCCTGGCAACTGCTGTTTTTTTTTTTTTTTCTTGTTTGCTTACTGAGATTTGATTTATTCAAAAGCTGTCATCTAAGTCCATTCCTTGACCGGTCTGACTGATTCAAGAAGATCGATCTAGTTATTCCACATGTCACTTTAATCCCTGGTGAAGAAAATTTGCTTGACCAAAGAAGACAGTAGAAAATTTCAGTAACTTAGAGATGCAAAGTGAGCAACAAAAAAGCAAATGAAATTCAGTGTTAATAAATACATACTGAAGTTAAAATTAAACCTAGTAGTGTACTTTACAGAATTCTAAGTCAAGAGTATTGCTTGAAGAAAGGGAGAAAAATAATTATAAGCAGTTCAGTGCACAGCTACAGTCAGCAAAGTTAGCATGATTTTGGGACACATATGAAATAGGGTAAAGAATAATAAGAGATTATTATAATACTTTTGTGAGTCCATAGTGGGAGTATATATTCTTGTATAGCACTGTGTGTAAGGCTTTCCACCACATCTCAGAGAGATTAACCATCTGTAAATGGCTTCAGAGAAGGACAATAACAATTATAGAGAATCTAGAACACCTCACGAAAGAAAACTGGGAGGGTTTTCCTTGGAAAGAAGATGAGTAAGTGGGGACACAATAAAATATACAGAATACTGAATACTGCAGAAAGATTAAGAACAATTTGTCTTCCTTTTTATAATACAAGACAAAAGAGGCATTAATGAGAACATTTATTTACTTATATTTAGAATAATAGAGATGTAAGACAGGATGTAGCCTTCCTTACATAATTATGCAATAAATATCTCCACATAAAACATAAGCAGGATTAGGGTAAGCTATTCCACAAGGACTTGGACCTGCAGAGACAGAGATCCACATGCTGCACAGAAAACAGTTTAGGGATGTATGTAATACTGATGGTAAATTGAAAGTTGGTATTTTCCCCCCCATGCATAAAGTAATTAAATGGGAGAACTGTAGTGCAACAGAAAGTGATAGGACAAAACATTTAGCAAAACTAAAAAGAGTATGTTTACGCATGTTTATAATTTTAATCATGCTATACAAAGTCATTAAAATTAATTATAAGAACTTAGTAAACTATCCTATGTTTCATTTCAGAGCTTAAACTTGTGTCTAATGATATGAGACCAAGAAGAAATTTGGGTGGTGTAGATAATTTTCAGTCTAGAATGATTTTGCGCTTTCCGGTGAAACAATTGCATTGGATGTTCTAAGAGATCATTAAGATTTGATGGACCTTGGTGTGATCTAATATTTAGATTCAAATGTTTCTTTGTTAGTAAATATGTGGCATCTAGCTATGGTAGAGTTGTTATGAAGCAAGACGCTGAGAAGCATAGAGTGTTGAGCTTGCATCATTAGAGAGCAAAATTGCTTCAAACAGGGTTTGTTTCCTGATGTTAAGGAATTTTAGCCGATGCATACACATGACTCATGTGTGGGGCTGTGAGTTGAGTTGCTTAGAGTTGGTACTTAAAGGGCTTAAAGTATTATTCAAGATATTTTAACTGATTATAAAAAATGTTTTAGGCAGAACCAATTTTTACTGAGCATCCATTTCAGTAAAGAGTAAAGTGGATTTCTGCTTTGCTCCCTATTTTCAATGTTAGTTTAAAAGTACCTTGACAAGCATAAGCAAAAAAATGTAGGATCAGACCCTGGTATTCATTAGCAACAATTCCTATCAAAGAAGTGGGATAAATGTATATGAGACATTTTAAAGGGTGTTTAATACTATAGCATGCAATATTGTGAATGAAAAAGTCTTGGCTGCTAAAAAGCATGTTTGAACTGTGTGGAAAGCTGTAAATTGTTTCCTAAGAAATACAACACTGAGTTTCTTTTGGTTTTCTCCATACATAACATATTAAAATCTCACACTAAACATCTTCTTGCTGAAAGTATGCATGTGGAAAAATTAATGCTGGGTAAGCTGGTGTGTGAACTTAGAATGCATTAAAACTTGTGCACTGTGTTTATTTATATACCCTATGGTACACATACAGACATACTTTGTTTTTATCAAGATTTGTCACAAATTCAGAAGCTGTGTATTCAGATATGTATCATAAATAATGCCATCAAAATTTTTCCAATAACTTTTTTGCATGTTCATAGACTTAATTTGGGGGCTTTGGGGATAGACCATATCTCTTGAAAAACAAATTCAGAACATCTTAGCTTTTTCAGCATATAGAGTAAATACTCTGGGTTCAGTAATACTATTCATGAAATCAAGAGTATTCCAATTTCTCTGGTACACAGGGTAAAATGAACCAAAAGAGAGATGTTGTTTTAGGGAAAACAGGATGCAATTTCATCAGTGTTTCTGAGAACACTGGAACATGCAAAGCTGTGAACAAGAAACTTAGCTTTCCAGTTGGCAGCATATTGATTGAAAGAGTAGTTCACTAATGAGATAACTAGAAGAAGCCAAAGCCAAAAAAGCCTGCACAACCAAATATGCTGACTTTGTTTAACAATGAGCATGTTTGCAGGAACACTGGAACTTTGCTGGCTGAGGTAAAATGGCTTTACCTTCACTTGATTTATTTTTTAGCCCTCTGTAATATATTATGTAGCTTTATAACTAGTATAGTATTTAGGCAGAGTCTTTAATCAGATCCAATTATACTGTTTTAACAGAACTCCGAGGAGTAGCTGTGTTTCAAAGCATTTGTATGCTACATCTGCAGGTAGTTGACTATTTATTCTAGGGAAGAGGAGTATAGGATTCTGTATAATTTTAGCAATAAAGAGAAACTTGGCTTGTGAGTACTGAGGCCACTCATACCATCAGTTTTGCTCTATACTGTCTTTGGTTAGCTAGGAGGCTCTATCTCACCTTGACAGAGTTTTTTGCTCAGTTGTCACACCTTTGCTGAGTTTTACATGGACTATGACAACTTGAACAGAAAGCTTTGGAAAGCCTGTGATCTTACAGGGTTCTTTATATATCTGCATGTTTTCTTAAATGACTCTTCTTCTCTCTGTCTAGACTTCCCATTAAACATTGACAAAAAGATACTTTAGGCTTGTGCATAGACAAACATATTCCCAAGTCTGCTGTAGCTCTGTTCTCTTGATTGTCCAAATTGTGAAATAGGGAGCAAGCAGCTGGGGCTCTTGTGTGCTTGAATGTGACCAGAATGTGTGCCAGAACCAGGAGCTAGGAAATGCTACTGGATGCTGAAGTTTAAGCATAGTTCATCCCACTCACCTGAAGCTCTGACACAGGATAAACATGCTCTGACACAATAAAACTCTCCATGGCAGTGTAAGGCTTATGTGTTCAGAAACTTAAGCTTGTAACTATGGGATATTTTCCTTTACAGATTGCAATATGTTCCATCACCTCTGAGCTGGGATGCAGCTGGACAGCCATGATAGAACTGTGCAGCTGTGTTGGCTCTCTGTTGTCAAATGATACAAAGTGCTTGCTATATTGATTAATTCATGTTTTCTCTAAGTGGATCATATATTTCTGTGTCCTTTCCTCCCTAAAATAAATAGATGGCAATATGCTTATATTTATACATTGAAAGTACTTTAAGAATTGTATTAAATGAAGTGCTTGTGTACATTGCCTTCTCTGGCAAGAAAGCAGATGTTAATCAGGTCACTTAATGCACTGAAGTGAAGAGCATGATAAAAAATCTAAGCACAATTTCTCTGTGACTAACATGGAACATGGTAATGAGTGTAGCATTTATGTCCAAGGATTTTAAGTGGCAAAGATAAAATGCTCCATTTTCATTTTCTGTGGAAGAGATCAAGCATTTTTTATTTTCTTCTTACACATCAGTATTGTATTCAGTGGTAAATACTACAATGGGAAGATAATTATTCTAATGGGTTAGTTTTAAAAAGGCTTTTGAGGGGTAGAGGGAGGAGGATTTTTTTAGCCATTTGAGAGATGAGTTATGCAACAAAAAGCTAGAAATCTTTGTTGCTGATTTTGGTGTGCTCATGAGCTGGGATTAATGTTCTTTGTGCTTGCTGATGTAGACAAACACGCAGTAGTTCTAAATTTATACCGCATGTACTGGAATCAAGCTCGCCTTTTCATTTAAGTGCCGTTATGAACTGGAGGAATTTTTTATATCTAATGAGTCCTAAAATGGCACACACTGATGGGGGAGACTAGAAAAATAACAAGATAAATAAAGAAGGTACTTAGCTACAGTCTATAGCAATCCTAAACATCAATTCTCTTGTTTGAGACCTAGCAGAGTTAACTTTTGTGAATT